GCTTAGTAACCGGGGTTCCTTTAAGGGATCTATAAGTGTTACTATAACGGTTCTATGAGGTTTTTCGGGGGATACTTGAAGTATCATGGGACTTAGTCGCTGGGGGTATAAAAAGCAGCAAATTACGTTCACAATCACTAATTAACGTCATGTAAGGTATTTCCCACTTTACTTTCTGAGCCCCGTGATCCTGCAAGTACGGTCCCGAATACCTGGTGAATCAGTTAGCCAACGGAAAGCGTGAAACTTTTCGCCCTTCTAGATTTGTTCTATTCAGGCAAGTTTGAACTTTTGCGGGGCCCAACTTATTGGCGAAGAGAGACGACGCCTTGTACAAGCTGCAGTTCCGTGTACCGCATGCCAAAGCGACATTCCAACTACGAATCTACGAGTTCTTCGTGGCTTCGCTTCGCAAAGAGGCGCAAACGGGTTCACCCTATGCCCCAAATCATAAGCTCGACCAGAAGCCCCCCCGAAGTACCCTTTAATGGAGCCCTTAGGGTCCTGCATAGTCGGTATTTGAGGTATATTAGAGGGTAGGTGGGGGGGTTTAGGTAGCCCTAGTCCATGGGTCCTCAACTCCGATCTGGGAGTTTCCGAAAGTAGGGGACCCTCATATACTCACATGGTAGCCTAAATAGTAGGATCCCTATTATAAGGGCCCCAAAATACGGTACCCAATTTTTCGGAAACTTAATAAACCCTTATAGAGCCCTTTAAAGGAACCCCCATAATAGTACCCTTATAGTAACCCTTTAAAGGAATCCTAAGGTACCCCAAAATTTTCGGAAACCCCCATCTTCCAAACCCCCGACCGAATTGAGGCTGCTGACACGCCGGCCCCTCCCGACGATGAGGAGCAGGCTCAGGCCACCCCGCGCCACTACTGTAGGGGCCTTAAGAATTACCTATACAATTTGGAACAAGGTTTTCGGTTTTTCTTAAGGCTCACATTTAACCCTCTACCCTAAACCCAAACCTCGGATTCCGTGATCAGCCCTAAAACCCCCAAAGCCAAACGCCAAGCCTCGGATTCCGCGATCAGGAGTTCTATCAGTGCACACGGCAGTGCCGTTGGCAGTTCGGCTTCTTCGACCTTCAGATCGTCGGAGCCAAGCGAGATTGGAAGGCCATGCCTGCACGCGCGATGTGCGGTTTGAGGCTTGGGGTTTTGCAGGTTTAGAGTTTGGGGTTTCGGTTTTACGGTTTTTTAGAGTTTAGTGTTTAGGGTTTCGGGTGAGTTTGAGGTGTAGGTTTAGAGTTTTGGGGGTCTAGGTTCCAGCTACGTTCGTTAGGGTTGGGAGGAAGGCAGGCAGTCAGAAGTCCCACCCATGCGCTTTAACCCGCCTTTGTCAGTTGAGGAGTGTCGCATTCGTTTAACTTCCGGTATTCTGTGAGCAGGGGAGGCTGCAAATGTTTCAGCGACGGATCTTGTATAAGTGCATTCTGCGAAAACTATGGTATGAAGGCCTTCAAGCAGCGTGGACATCTGCGGGACGTGAAGTGCCTTATCGAGACCCAAGTAGTGTCGGAGAGTCCCAATTCAACCATCGGAGATGTTAACCTAGCAGCCCAAACCCTCTACATACACGCATCTACCTGCAACCCGATACTCCAAGTGTTCAACCCGCAACCGTATCACCTCAGATCTCCCCAAAGAGACCCGAGGGATCTCCCGAGGAGATGCCAAGCCCTGCTAAAGAGCTTTCTGGGATCCTGACCCCATACCCTACACCCCCAACCCACCTCCGAGGCCTAGAATGTAATCGGGGGTTGTAAGGAATTCTAGCTGCAAGCACTCGGAAAGAAGCTCATGTAGGGCCACGATGGCTTGGGTCTATGTAAAGCCCTAAACCCCATGGTGTCGTTCAAAAGCTAATTGATCAAAACGGTGATTTGGGTTTATGGAAAGCCCGAAGCCCCATAGCGTCGGTATCACCGGGCCAAGAGCTCCTCTCTTTGCAGATTTTCCATGGCTGGACGATGTGCCAGTGCTACCGTGGCTTGGCAACGCGATGTAGGGGCCTAGGGTTTAGGGATCCCTAAACCCTATAGACCCTAATTGGGGTGGTGGGGACTTGGCATGGGGTAATAATGGACGCGAAGCCCAAAGAGGCGAGAACCCTTCAGCCACATCGGAATTCCTAGGGCTTACTTCCAAGGGGAAAAGGAGGGACCCTTAATAAGGACCCCTAGGTATATACCCTTAGTATAGCTGTTATATACCCATTATATAGCCCATTTTAGGGTAGGGGTCCCCATTAAGGGTCCCTCCTTTTCCCCTTTGATTATAATAGGGGCTTAAGGTTTATAGGGTTTCGAGCTCGGAGCAGATTCTGCTACAGATTCGCGTTCCTGGCTGCCGTGCCAAGTATCTCTGCCATTTTCGAGCAGCTCCTATAGTATCTACCTAGACCCCCCAAAGTAGGTAAAACAATGGCCCAAAACCTATAAAAGGCTATTATTCTACATACTTTTGGGGTCCAGGTATTGTAGTTCCTTTTTGGCTTTAACCAATTATATAACGAGGATCCTCTAACGTAACCCCGAAAAGGAAGTGTCACGGAGACTGCAGGTTCATTCCATAAAGACCCCAGACCGGGCCAGGCACGATTAAACAATCGACACTTGCGCTTCTTGCGGTTGGTTTGCATCTCAGGGCTGCACGCGAGCCCCAACGCCAGCGAGACGCCGGGAGGCCAGGTGTGGTCACCGGGGGGCAAAAACACTTCAGACCTGGCTTTCAATAGGAATGGTTTTCAAAATGAACATGGAGAACAAGATTACCAAGACACCGTGAGTCAAGGCTTTGTATGAAGGAGATTTGTATTGCTGCGCAAGCCGGTTCTTTGTCCATGGAAAACAGCTGTCGCCCTCACAAGCATCTGCCTTCTTGGCACGCCGCACCCATGAACATTCAGATCACAACTCCATGCAGAGGTGGTTTCCCAGAGGCTGCAGAGAGAGAGTGAGATCAGGCAAACAGCCACGAAGAACTTGGCAACAAGCATGAGAGGGCTAGCTTGGTGGGCTGATTCCACGTGTGGAGTAAATCTGGTCCCCACCTAAACGATAAAATAATGGCCTAATACCTTTAAAAGGCTATTATCCTACATACTTTTGGGGTCCAGGTAACTATGGGTTTCTCCTGTCCAGCTATGGCTTCTCGGCCCGTAGCTTCTGTTTGCACACATCGCAGCAGCCAATGCGGTGTGAGCTCATTTTAGGCCCAAGCGCAGTCTATTTTAAGCATTAGCACATAAATCGAAGCCTAAATGCCAAAGACCTAAGCCCATCAACCACAAGTTCAACCAAATAGAGAAAACCCAGAAGATCCACGTGCCTATTCACATCTACGTGAGTATATAAGAATTCAACAGTACATGCTTCGGCAGCATTTTCATACTATCTGGGTTCATGGACATGTGCGGAAGCCCACCCGAAACCCTAATAAACCCTAGACCCCAAACCCTAACCCCTAAACCCTAAATCCCTAAACCCTTATAATCCCTACCGCGCCAAGCACTCCAGGAGCTGATGTGCTCTCGCCGATGATTCCTCGGTTTACTGTACGGGACTGAGCGAAGCTTCTCTCGCGCTTTCGGGGTGAGTTGTTGTCTCCAAGGCTTTCTGCACCCAAGTAGCATATTCTGAGGCTTCCAACTACCTATGTAGAAGCCCATGTAAGGCGTAAGTATATACATATATAAAGACATTTGTGTACATATGTATATACACATATATCTACACACATCTTTATGTTTCTTTGCTCATATACTAGGTACACAATGCCTTTGGTTATCGGGTATCAAGTGAGGCCTTTCGGGCTCTGGGATGTACCAAGACTGTGTTTTGCGGATCACCTGAACTCTGGTTCATGTCCCACAGTATTCGCAAGCGAAAGATCTTAACTACCGTGCAGTCTGGGTAGCAGCCGAGCATGTTGCTTGGCAATCTGTAATCCTGCACTGCTACATATGTGTTCGGGACATGGAGAGTTTCGAGCGCGTTAGGACAAAACAGAAGCCAGAATGTTGGAACTTCACCGTAGGGCTCCAGTTACCTTAATACTAGGTTACCAAGAGGCTCCATATGTACTACTGTTATGGAATTCGGTGCCCAAAACCATGATATGGATGGTCGTTTGGGGCCTGATTCCAGAATGGTAGTATGTTGGCGCCTTCGGGTTATTAGCCAAATAAAAAATGGCCCAGTAGCCCAAAATTTAGATAGCTGGAGCCCGAGGGATACTCAATCGTCGCTCTAGCTTTCTGGAGCTAAGTTCTCGAGGTCTGTGGGCCTGTTCAGGAGATCTTATTGCAAATTGACATGTGAAAATAGGGGTCCCTAATATAGTACCCGAAATAGTAGGATTCTTAGAAAAGGACCCCAAAATAGGTGCCCCTAGTTCGCGGAAACTCCCACATGGGTGTTTCCTGAGGCTGTGTGAGTGTCTATCGACGTGTACTATATGGGAGTCCAGGCGCGGGAGTTTCTTAATCTACGAGGGGCCCTAAACTAGAGGTCCTTATACAAAGAACCCTGGTACGTTGGGACCTACTTTCGGTCCTTCATTGTCTGGAACACCATGTACAAAGCTGAACGACCCCTCTCGCCCACTCAGAACAAGCAGTTTGACACGGTGGATACGTGGAGTGGCAACGACACCAGCGGTTTTGACTGTGCCACTTGGCTTGACTTGTGATGATGGTGATCCTCTCCTGCCCTGGCCGGCTCGTTTTCAGAGGGTCTGCATCTTCTGTTCCAATTCCTGGGGTGCAATGCTTATGACTTAAACATCATGGAACACCGGGAGTCGGTTTGGGCTCCGTCGAGTCGTACAAGCCGAAACATAAGGAAAGCATAAGTGTACAGCGGTCTCTTAATATATATATATATATATATATATATATATATGGGCGCGTGGTCATTCCCCCCCCTACATTTCTGCATCTTCGGTATTGCGCCCAATACAATACAGTGCGAATGATGTACTGACCCTAGTCATGCCCCATACCCAGATGCTCGTAGACAACCAAGCCAATGTAGGCACCTCAGATGTTTCAGCAGCAACACACGAGCATCGTTTCTCTAACTTGTTTACTTGTGCTAGCCAGCAGAGCAGTGCAATGCAGCACAGCGCTTTCCCCATCTGATTTCAAGCTTCGACGTGCCCCTACTAGATTTCAAGCAGGTCGTTCCTGCAAATGACCCCGTTGGCTCGTGCCAGTCCTTTCAGGATTGAAGACATGTCAGTTCCGACAGTGACATAAAAGACATACTCATCCATTTCGAGTATGTCCAAAGAAAGCTTTCCATAGCGGCGCCTTGACCACTTTTTGAGCCTGCCGTTTTCAGACTCTGCATCATTCGTGTGGAACCCCGTAGCAGGATCACGAAAACACTTTTCATGTTTCACAGGAGGTGCGTAATCATAGCCTAGTGCTTCCACAGCCTTTTTGGTAGCAGTCCAACCGTCAAACACCAAGTACGAGCCTTTCGCGACGTGCTTTTCAACCGTGTTTTGGATTTCTTCAAAGCCGCGAGGTTTGTTCTTTATGGCTTTCTTGCGAGAAGGCAGAAGACGATAAGTGATGCGTTTCTTGCCGTTGTCATGGGTGTAGATCTCCTTGTTCTTGCCCACAGCGACAGCAAGCCATAGCCAGGCACCGTTTGTCTTGAGGTTTGCGGCAGTCTTCTTGAGTCGTTTGGCTGGTGGTCGAACGGCAGCAGGCTTCTTCAGGATCGTTTTCATCACACCACATGGCCGCTTCATGTGTGTTGAAGCCGGCTTCTTCAGGAGCTGTGGCCCGGTGCGTGAAGCCTTCTCTGACCCATGAAGTGTTCGAGCTGGCAGCCTTTTCATGGCACCCTTGGAAACCAGTTTTTTCCGTTCCAGGCGCGCCGTTGTCCTAGTCTGCTCTGCACCAGCTTTGTTGATCCCCCTCGAACCAACTGACCAACCATCTTCAGGATGGACTCCGACGATGGCTTCGTCCATGACGACCGTCTCCTTCTTGCCACCGACGACCCTGCAGTCCATTTTGTCCAGAGCAGCACCGATAGCCCTCTGGAAGACGTCACGCCATTTCGCAATCGTCTTTTTGGCGATGTTGCCATAGCCCGCCTGCAACTCCTGGATGATGGTGGACCAGTTCATAGAAAGACGCAACATGTTGATGAGATGGAGAAACGGGAACCAGCTATTCACCGGTATTTCAGTGAGGAAGCCGTACTGGTTGAGTTGTAGTTCCATGTGCTTGTGCCCAACAGCACTGCATGTCCATCCAAAAGTCGTCCATCCCCTCGAGGTTCGCTGCTCGAAGCGAGCGGGCTTACCACATTTAGTGCATCTCTTTATCTGTAGAGCAGCCCCGTACTTCAAGAAGATGCCGATTGCCCTCAGTGACAAGGAAACATTCGCACCGTTTTCGTCGAGAACACGACGGTGAATGAGATATTTTTGGAAGGCTACATCGCTCTCAAAGCAGTGCTCGTCGACGTCCTTGAGCCATTCTTTGAAGGAGCAGGAGGGTAGCTCCAGAGCATGAAGGCCATCTTCCCGCGCACGTCTAGTCATTGTTGCACAGGCCACGTTAAGCTAGTACATGTACCAGGTCCAAGAACGCTCAACTGTGTTCGCTGCTGTTTGTCACATGGCATTGAAACAATGACAGTCTGCTTGCTGACGTGCAGTGGACCTGCTAGTGATAAGCCCCGCAACTTGCCAAGAAACAAGTCAATGCTTGGTGGACAGCAATTGCAAAGCAATCAATCGACATCACTTGCAGCAAATCGTAGTGGCTCCATTTTCCAAGCCCAGAGGACGCCCGCTTGATTTTTTTCAATCGGCCGCTTGATTTTGGAGGCACACGAAACTTCTATTGAATTTGAGGAAATTTCAATCGTTTGGAACTTTTGTTGGTACGTGTTTCTATTGATTTTGAGTGTTGACTTCTATTGATTTTAATCGTGGTCTTTCTATTGATTTTATGGAAAATTTCTATTGATTTTATGGAAAATTTCTATTGATTTTATGGAAAATTTCTATTGATTTTATGGAGATTTTCTATTGATTTTGAGGTGGATGTTTCTATTGATTTTATGGAGATTTTCTATTGATTTTGAGGTGGATGTTTCTATTGATTTCAGCTTGCTGAAACGACGGCCCGGGCGGCCCCAGTTTGCTAACCAAATAGAGAGAGAGAGAGAGAGAGAGAGAGAGAGAGAGAGAGAGAGAGAGAGAGAGAGAGAGAGAGAGAGAGAGAGAGAGAGAGAGAGAGACAGAGAGACAGAGATACAGAAAGACGGAGGAGACAGACAGAAGAGATGGGATGTGGGCCGGACGGCCCCACGAAGGGAGAAGGCGGGGGAATCATTTTTGGCAGGTTCGTGCATGGCAGCCGTCTTGCAACCAAAGCTTCCAGGGGCCGGACGGCCCTAAGAAGGAAGAAGGGGGGGAATCATGCTTCAAATCTCGTGCATGGCAGCCGTCTTCAAGCCAAGCTGCCAGGAACTTTGGGCTAGGTCAAGATGCAGGGCGATGATGAAATTGTCGTCCAGGCCTATGCCAAGCTGCTTCACGCCAAGGTTCCAGGCAAAGTCGCGAGGTCCTTGGTCGTGATGTGGCGGAGAGGTTACCTAGACCAGCTGGAGATTCTTGGCATGAACACATATACATATACATATATATCTACATATATATACTTATACATATGCCGTATATAGACTATGTATTTAATTTTTTACTTATATAGAGCTAAGGGATGTCGACAAGGAAGTGGGCTTCCTGAACTTTTTGGAGTACCTCATGTACAAGATCGAGAATGATATGGACATCGACCCCGAGCGCTGGCCGGAGGCGACGAAGCACATGAAGATGAAGGAGCACGGGTACATCCGCTTGTTGCTCAACGATGCTTCATTGATCGCTCTCCAAGCAAACCCAGGCCCCTTGAGCGGAATGACGAAGCCTCAACTACTTTCGGAAGCAGTGCGGGTGGGGCTTAAGGTACACCAGTCCTGGAGCGACCAGGAGTTGCGGGCGAGGATCATGGAGCACGTGGACGCTACATTTTTTTGAAATTGAGCCGCCCGTGCGCCAGGTCCGAGGATCTGACCAGTGCCAGGCGGCTGGGAGGTGAGCTCCAGGACAAGCCTCAAGTTTCCAAGATTCAAGGGGTCGTTTGTTAGAAGCGGCTTAATTCAAGTGCTAATCCAGGGCAGGCTACTGCCAGGGTATAATTCAAGCCGAGATCGATCAAGCCCTGCTTGACATGCAAAATTGTCTTGGCGAGAAGAGGACCTGAGCTGAAGTTTTTTTTCATAGTACGCTGCATGCTTCAGGCAGGCCTAGCCAGGTCCTGGGCTTCAAGCTCCAGGCAGGTCTGTCGGGTTTAAGTGCTGCAGGCCGCCAGGCAAGTCCTCAGGTTCTTAGAGCCATGGGCAGCCCCGCAGCTGCTGGCCGCGGCGGCGAACGCAACTTCGCCAAGCCGGAGGTGGACCAGGAGCACTTGCTGGACGTGTTCAAGAAACACGTCAAGCTCCTAGGTGTCCAGGCCGCCTTCAACTTCGACCCCTACGGCAACCTAGCCAAGACGAGTGCTGTCCAGGCCAAAGGGCTTTCAAAGGCGACGGTTTTGCTCAAGAAACTCCAGGAGGTGGAGAGCGGCTTGGCTTTCAAGTACAAGGACTTGAAGGAGTGCTTGGCCAAGGTCAGCAAAGACTACCCGGACCTCATCCACCAGGCCCCGCTGAGCAAGCAAACTGCTTGGGCTGGGGACACGGCCGAGATGCTGCTGACCGTCATGGCTCATGCTCGCCGCTTGTGCAACGACACCAGGTTCAAGGAGGCTTGCAGCAAGGCGACCCAGTTCGAGATCAAGGATCTCGAGGAACTCAGGGCGCTGCTTCTTCCAGAAGTGTCGGCCTCACCAGCCAAGCTCCAGCAGGCGGAGACCCACAACACCAAGCGGCCGAGCACAGGGACGCCAAGCCCTGCGACCAAGCCGCCAAAGCTACGGTCGTTAGCCCCTGCGAGCAGTCCGCTTCGAAAGATTCGGACCAGGGATCTGGAGCTTCCAGACACTCCCAAGACCGCCAAGACGAGTTTGAGCCAGGAAGCCGAAGGCAGTCCCGTGCCAGGCAGCAAGGCTCGAATCAGGAAGTCTTGGGAGGGCGAGGTTTTGAAGAAACCAGCTGCAGCCGCTAAGCCTGTGAAAAAGGACAGTGACAAGCCGAAGAAGAAGCCGGCCTCTAATCTTAACATTAGAAAAAAATTTTTGTTGTTCGTAAGCATATATTTCTATCTAGGAAGATGTATTTAAGTGAAGCCCTGAATGTTTAATCTCCATCATCAGGCCCCCAAGGACAAGGACAAGCCCGAGTTGACGGAGGCTGAAAGGGGCAAGCTGCAGATCATGCACTACCACGACAGTGTCGCATTGAGAGTCGACGGTTCTAGGCAGCTTTTCCAGATCGTGTGCAGGAAGCATGGTCGGGATAAGACCAAGCTTCAGGTTGCCAAGATGAAGAAGAAGCTCGCCGAGGGCGGCTCTTTGGCAGAGGCCTTCAAGGAGAAGGCTAAGTTTTTGGAGTCCTAGTTTCAAGTCTTTTAGTGTTCCAAGCCAGGGCTGGAAGCCCGGTGGCCTCGACTGCATAAGCCAGTATGCATGAGTGAAAAACACATCGACCCTCCAGCTGCATGAGCCTGCAAGTAAAGTTTCAAGGGCTGGACAGCCCTTTTCGGCGGCAAATGCTCCCAAGCGAGATCGATCTTCGGCCGCTGCAGCTCCCAAGCTCAAGAAGCAGCTTTAGGAGTTACTTAGTCAGGCAGCCAAGGAGCTGCCAAGTCAAGCCGGTCCAAGCCATGGCCGGCCAGCAGCCTCGAGGGCGCCCAGGAGGACCCATCCCCGCGATGGGAAAGGGCCCCCAGCGAAACAGTCAGCCAGGCGGCACCGGACACTTGCACGCATGTAACAAAGTTTTGCATTTGTTTTAAGGATTTAACGAAACCGTTGATGTCTATGTTTGAAAGCACTCAGACTCAAGCGCCTGGCGAGAGAACTGGAGGGCGCTTTACAGCCAGTACAAGGACGAGGCCGGCCTTGGAGTAACAAGCAAAAGTTTATACATACATTATAATATATATATATATATATATATCAAAAAATATACATAAAAATATGTACATATATATATATATATTTGTTTTTTATATGTTTGTGTCCCTTGTTGCGGTCCCTATCTAAGCCCCCATCCCCTAAAACTATATACTTAATGAAAACCCCTGCGGCCAGGGCGAGACCTTCGGCCACTGGCAAAACGATGTGGTGCGACACCTTAGCCTCAAGTTCGACACCCAGATGCCCCAGGACCAGTCGATCAGGTTGTTCATTAACCGGGTATTTGAGCAATCAGGAACAATCGAGTCGATCGACGACTGGCTGGAGGTACAGTTGGATGAAATGAGCATAAAAAGGAGCAGCCAGGAGCCCCAGGATCCCCGCTCATCCAGGAGCCAGCAATCCCAGGAGCTCCACATTAATTGGACCTCCAATGGGCAGGATGAGCAGGGTCGACCCTTGTCACCCTGGAGGCGGCCACAGCCACTGCCTGCACCTCCTAAGGGCCTCCAGCTCCAGGGCAAGACGTCGCCACCTCCCAAGCAGCCGCCGGCGAAAGCACCTGCCCAGGAGCAGCTTGACTGAATTTACTTGACCTTTTAATCTTCAAAACCTTTAGCTGTCTTCAAGCCGTCAAGGGCTGGAAGCCTATTGAAGCCGTCAAGGGCTGGAAGCCCTATTGAAGCCGTCAAGGGCTGGAAGCCCTATTGAAGCCGTCAAGGGCTGGAAGCCCTATTGAAGCCGTCAAGAGCTGGAAGCCCTATTGAAGCCGTCAAGAGCTGGAAGCCCTATTGAAGCTGTCAGGGGCTGGAAGCCCTATTGAAGCTGTCAGGGGCTGGAAGCCCTTTTAGCTGGAAGCACCCCCAAGTAGCAGTGGAAACACCCAAAATTAGCCCTTAAGTTTGAGTCATGATCTCAGGCCCGCTCCGCCCGCTACCCCGGCGACCTCAGTCCCAGCCACCACAGCAGAAGGCGACCTTCCAGGCTTGAATTATCCAAAGTCATGTATAAGCCACATGTAAAACGATTTTTGAAAACCCGTAAGCTTTCTTTGAAATCTCGGCAGCTTGCAGGAGGTCAAGCTGAGACGGAGGATCCCGCTGCCCTCGAGTTCTTGGAAGCCGAACTTGCCAAGCTCCAGGAGACCAGGCTCGAGGTGGCCCACGAGATCTACAGGCGCAACCGCGAGGTCGGATCTTTAAAACATAATTATCATCTACTCTTTAAGCAAAGATTTTATTGTAAAAAAACCTATTATACTGTTTCCTTCTATTCTGAATTCTAGGAATATACGATTTCCAAGGCCCAGCTCCAGGACGAGCAGGAAAACGAAAGGCAGGCCACAGAGACGGAATTCCAAGAATTCCAAGAGTCAATGGAAGAAGTCAAGGCGAACTCTGATGCCGAATGGGAGGAAAAAATGATAAAGGAGGTGGAGGAGAGGAGGGCCAAGAGG